TGTACGCGGCGCTAAGACGAGAGCCACATTTTGAAATGGAACCGCCCTCAATCCGTGAAGCTCTTTGCACACGTTTTAAACGAATGTGCGCGGCGCTAAGGCGAGAGCCACATCTTGAACACGACTCGCCCTCAATCCGTGAAGTTCTTGTTGCAAATTTTAAGACGACTGTGCGCGGCACTCAGGCGAGAGCAACAGTTTGAAAACGACCCACCGCCAATCCGTGAAGCTCTTGCATTTTTTAACGAATGCGCGCGGCACTCAGGCGATAGCCACATTTTGAAAACGACCCGCCCTCAATCCGTGAAACTGTTGCCATGTTGAAAGCTTCAGGGCCATACATGGTGCGGAAGTCTCAGGCGAAACGCCCAGCCCGCTCTAAAAATCGGCCTCGGGGTGCGACAGGGAGACGTTATTCATAAGGAAAAGGAATGGAGGGGAGGCGGAGCAGGAGGAGGAGGAGGAGGAGCCAGGAGCGAGGAGCGAGCAGGAGGAGGAGCGAGGAGGAGGAGGAGCGAGGAGCGAGGAGCGAGGAGGAGGAGGAGGACGAGGAGGAGGGAGGACGAGGAGGAGGACGAGGAGGAGGCCTCCTTCCTGCCATCCTCATCATCCTTCTGTATCCGAGGAGGGCTGGCCCCGTGGTGCTCGACGGCTTCCGGTCGGCCGGGGCGTGGTCTTCCGTCGCCACGCTGGTGCTGTCGCTTGTGCTGGCGGCTTCCACGTGCGGCTCCACCCAGGGGCCCCCCTCAGGGGGGAGGGGGAGGAGATGGAGGAGGAGGAGAAGGAGGAGGAGGAGGATGAGGAGGAGGACAAAGAGGCGGAGGAGGAGGAGGAGGAGGACAAAGAGGCGGAGGAGGAGGAGGAGGAGGAGGCGGATGATGCTGCCGCTGCTGAGGAGGAGGAGGAGGAGCAGGAGGAGCAGGAGGAGGCGGATGATGATGATGATGATGATGATGATGATGATGATGATGATGATGATGATGATGATGATGATGATGATGATGATGCTGATGCTGATGATGATGATGATGATGCTGATGCTGATGATGATGATGATGATGATGATGATGATGATGATGATGATGATGATGATGATGATGATGCTGATGATGATGATGATGATGCTGCTGCTGCTGATGATGATTATGATAATGCTGCTGATGCTGATGCTGATGATGATGCTGATGATAATGATGATGATGATGATGATGATGATGATGATGAGGATGATTCTGATGATGCTGCTGCTGATGATGATGCAAATGAGCCTGATGATGCTGATGATGCTAAATATGATACTGATGCTGATGATGATGCTGATGATGATTCTGATGCTGCTGCTGATGCCGATGCTGATGATGATTATGATAATGCTGCTGATGATGCTGCTGATGAAGATGCTGATGCTGCTGATGATGATTATGATGATTATGCTGGTTATGATGATGAGATGCCGAATATGCTAATGATGTTGATGATGATGATGATGATGTTGATGCTGATGATGCTGCTGATGCGGATGATGATGCTGCTGCTGATGCTGAGGACGATGATGCTGATAATGATTATGATGATGCTGCTGATGATGATCATTCTTGTAATGGTAAGTGTGATGCTGATGATGATGATGATGCTGATGCTGATGCTGGTGCTGCTGCGGCTGCTGATTATGATGAGGTTAATGATGGTGATGATGATGATGATGATGATGATGATGATGATGATGATGGTGATGATGATGATGATGATGATGATGATGCTGATGCTGATGATGTTGATGAAGATGCTGTTTATGGGACAGAACAGAATGCAATGGTGTGGCGGTCACAAATACGTGGCTGCGTGGTGGGCTGGTGGTCGCCTTTTATCGCGTGCTCGCTCCAAGCCGTGGGACCCCGACCTGGGGGGCGGAACTTTTGACCCCCCCTCCCCGGACAGCGTTTGCCTTCTGGGGTCTGTTGTTGGGGGGGCAGGATTTGTTCCCCCCCAGGCGGGCGGGCGCAACAAAGTCGAACCGGCCCGCATTCTCCGGTCGTTCGGCGCCAGGCTTGGGCTAGCAGCATGGGGACAGGGGAGCAGTGACATTGCCTGCACTCCGTTGCCCATTTTGGCCCAAGGGCCCGAGCGGGCACTGCGATAAAGACCCGCCCCCCCACACCTCTTCGTCCCGAAGTTCACTGTCGCAGTTTGTCTCGGTAATGGTTCGATTCCCTAGTGCCCTCTGCAGCCTTCCGGTTGCAAGTGACCGCACTCTGCTTCCCTCGTGGTTTCGGGTTGACCCCCGAAAAATGCCCAGACCACATGGCTGGGAACCTGGACCCAAAGATCCAGAGTGGTTCGAGTCGTACCCAGACCCACCTCCGTTCACTCAGGGGTTGGGCTGGTGGTCGAGCCTTGGGTTTGGGCCAGGGCCGGACCAGCGCCATTTGAAAGGCGCGGCCGGCGTGTCGAGGAAGCGTCGTGTGCGGCACGTGCGCAGGGCATGTGATCGAATCGTGTC